AATTTCGATATATTCACAAGACAGAAATGAGCCATCACGCAGCATCACCATAAGCCTCGACCGCCGCGTTGAGCTCACTTGCGTCCTTCAGCATCGAACGTGATGTACTCCTCGACTCCCCCGTTCCTGTCGACGGTACTGCGTCCACCTCCACCTCGGCCACCACCCCTGCCTTTGAAACCGCCCCGGCCTCGCCCCCTGCCACCGCCTGGCTTCCATCGCTTCCCTTGCGCGCCTCCCGATCCCGATGACGGTTTCGAGCGAGGAGGGGGTGCCATTTGTGTGGGTGCTGTGGTTGCGAGATAAAGAAATACATACACAATTGGATAGAACGCCCTCGCCGTGCGTGGCGGCCAGGCAAATGGAAAATGGAAGGGTTTGGTGCATATGCTTCTCTACTCGTTGTCTCATGAACTCATTCGTCGATCATTTATCTAGCCTGCATCCAACTGCAAGGTCCCTCCACTATTACACAAACGCACCACATTCACATTAAAGGTACTTAGCATGCAACTGACCGGACTCTCAGCACACATCGACTGGGTCAAGTCGTCGGCCGGAGTTAGCATTTCAAGCACCTGTGCGTTGGATCCGACAGTTACGTGAATTTATACGTCTTCATCACCAATTCCAGGATGAAGAAACCTACGAGCTCGAGCTCGACTGCCACGTGTACCCTGGATTATACGTGCAGCCGTACCCTGCCGCCCAGTACGAGTTGGGCGCGCAGCACTGGCCCTCCTGGCCGGGCGTCCATTCAGTCTTGCAAACGCAGCGGCCGTCCGAGGTCCCGGTAGTTCCCCAAGGGCATGATGAGGGGACTTTGTCAGTGCAGCTGGATATCCATGGGAAGAGTTCGGGTGTGTCAGCGGCACGGCATTTTCACCACAGTTGCAGTACGTCGTTTGAACTCCGGTGACACCATTCCAAGTTGCCCCCCTCACACACTGACATCCGTTCGTGTCATCTGCCCAGTACGAGTTGGGCGAGCAGCACTGGCCCTGCGGTGCCGGCGTCCAACCCGTGTTGCAGATGCATCCGGACCCGGACGCGACCGTGCCCCAGGGACAGTCGCGGCGGGTTAGGTGGACGCTGGCATCGGCGGAGGAGGAGGCGTGCGCGTGCGCGTGCGCGGGGGGGAGTGTGGACGCGAGGAGGAGGACAACGGCGAGAGGGGTTTTGTACTTTTGTAGTAAGGAAATGAGAAGCAAGAGGTGGAATGGGGCAGGTTAAAGTCCCAAAAGGCAAAACTGTTCGATGACATAAGATGACATCCTGGAATTTCGAACCGTTGTTCTCTCAGGCGGTCGGCCTGTGAGGACGGCAAATGGGTTCTCGTAAAGCTGTGAGCCGATCCGCGATTGATGCGATCTTTGTTGAGTCTCCGTGTCGGGAGTTGTCGGTAGGGTCGGGTGGTTTCGAGTGGGAAAAGGGACGAGTTGTACCTTCTATGATCAGGGACGGGTGACGCTCAACGAGGAATATAAATTTAGTAAATTGTATTCGTTGCATCTTTAGGCACGATATGGTGGTACGGGATGTCCAGCAGCGGCGGGAGAGTAGACACACAGCCGCTGTTTGTTTGACTACACGTGGCTTTTTTGATGATTCAGCAAACGTAGTTGAACGGTTCTCGGATGGCTTTCATGGATGAGATCAAGGTGAAGTCGTCCAAGATCTCGTGAATTGCTGTGATGGTCAGTTGAGTGGAGTTGCAAGGCAGAGCCAAGGGAAAGCCGTGAGTGCAAGAGCCAAGCTTGATGTTGCAATGAATAATTGACCTCACTACTATCGTGGTGTCTCCCGCCAAGGCTCCAAGCACCGGAAGAAAATGGCGACGGGTATACTCTTTTTGTCTGTGACGCCACACGAAAGAAAGAAAAGGTCGAATAGTTATTATAAAGGCGAGACTCGACGTCAGAAGCTCACAAATGGAATAATTGGACCATGCATTCAATCAATGTCCTGCCATCGTCCTTCAAATGCATTTTCTCATGATTCCCGAGTCCCAGCATCACACGCCTCTGCCCCAGTGGAATCCACGATAAAATCGCGCTCAATTTTTCTCCACGATTATTTTGCTCAATTTGCTTTTTGCTTGAAAACGTCTCTCGGTCCGGCTGAGCTCAATCGGCCGCAGGACACTCGCCAACGTGCACAGCCACCGACCTCCTTCAAAAGCCCAGACTTTCCACCCCTGAGCATCGGACCAGTCGTTTACTTTCCTTAACGAAGGAAAGACTTTTACCAGGTGATTATCTTTCTCTGGACGTGACGGGGCCGCGATTGCGACGGATGCCGTGTTTCGTAAGCGTGGATGGCTGTCACTCACCCTGGCATTTCCCTCCACGCAGAACACCCCGTTCGAGCTTGGCGTCCCGCGGACCGGAGGCCTTCAACATATTGCACGGCCTCTACTGCCCGCGCATCCGAGCTCACCACACCTAGAACCAGATTCAAGCCGCAGCAAACACAACCCCCCCCTCTCTCTCGTTCGAGAATGACTCACACAATCAGCTTTTGGAAATCTTCTGCGCGCCGCGCGATGCTGCAGGCACTTCCACTGTACTCGACGAATGCCGCTGGGATTCCGCGACGACTCGCTCGGTTGCGAACCTCGGCGGCTCGGTCGGCGACGGACCGGCTATGCGCCTCCTTGACTTAACCGTCGAAAAGCTCGACAGTTTGGAGGTGGACTTGAATGGTGCGTCGCTTTCTCCTTCTCATGTGCTCTCTTCACTGTGATCACAAACTCCCACCATACTTTCATGCATCCCATTTGCATCAAACAGTCCCCCTCCAAACCCCCGAACTTTTCTCGTTCTTACTCGGCTCTGACTTCTCTCTCCCTGACACCTCGGGCCTCGCCGCCTTCGACGACCCGACCTGCCACACTGCCCCGTCCGGTCCCGCTCCCTCCTCCTACTACGAGGACGTGACGACCGTCGACCCCTCGCTTTTCTTCTCCTGCTCCGACAAGTCGGTCGAGCAGCTCCTCGCGGAACTCGCGTCGGTCCCCTTTGACTTTGACACCGAGACCACCGTCATCGACGCAGCTCCCGCACTTCCGCACCCCTCGGTCTGCGAGGCCGCCCCCCACTGGGAGGCTTTCTCGGACCCATCCAACTACACCATCGACCCCACCGCATCCTTCACCGCGCTCGCGGAGCTCGCTCAACACGACCCGGCCCTCGTCGCCCAACTCATCTCGGACCTGGGCCTGGAAGCCGACCTCGCCAAGCTCGCCGCCACCGTCGGATCGTACGACTTCGACCCCTCGACTGTCGACACGATGTCCCTCGACACCCCATCCCCGGCGTCCACGGGCTCGGTCTCGGCCTCTGTCGGCTCCGTGTCTCCGAACCTCACTCTGTCCCGTGCCGGTTCGGTGGCTCCGTCCTCTCCCGGTGGTGGCGCCGTGCGTACCGCCCCCCGCGCCAAGGCCAAGGTCCCTCCCCCGAGCGGGCCGGACCGGCCTTTCGCGTGCTCGGTGAGTCTCCACCCTTCTCTCCCTTTTCCTTTACCCTTCCCCTCACCTTTCCTACCCCACCTGCAGCTCTGCCCCTGGACCTTCTCCCGCAAACACAACCTCGTGACCCACATGAAGACCCACTCCTCGACCACATACTCTTGCACGCACGATGGGTGCGACGCCGTGTTCACCCGCCCCTACGATCTCGCTCGACATTCGAGGAAGCATACGGGCGAGAAGCCCTACACGTGCATAAAGTGCGGGGCGGGGTTCGCGAGACAGGATCGGTTTAGGCACCATGAGCGCACGGGGTGCGCGGGAAGCGTGTGAAGTGCTGGTGGGAGTGGAGGTGGAGAGGTGGTAGAGGAGGGTGATGAATGGGTTTTACGCATTTGATTTTTGTCGACATTCCTGTTGTGGTCGCGTTTTAATTCTTTTACGATACTGTATGCTAATCGCCCTTTGGAGTGAATACACCAAAACTCCAAAAATCTCTTGCTCTTTGTGCCTGCCCTCTGAGATGTCTCACCAGCACGGCGGTAAGATAGCATTCGGTTCACCTATTTGTGCATAATCTATACACTTTGCAAGTTGGTACCGCGACATGAAGGGAAAATGACCACCGCCTCTCGAATACAAACGAAACGGTAGTTGAAACCACGCACTCCCACCCAAAGTGGATGGTTTGACGTGGAGATCTGAGCACCAAAACGGTGTGAAATGAGCGGTCCCGTTGAAGGCTGCAGTGACAAAAGGTGCAGTGACAAAAGGTGCAAAAAAAGTCGAGGCGACTGTGCCCGTTGCTGGGTTTGAACCAGCGACCTCCTGCTTACTAGGCAGGCGCAACTACCACTGCGCTAAACGGGCCAACGATGTCTCAGTTTTGAAGAATAGCCTCTATAACATATTGTAGATATTTTGGTTTCGGTAAATGTAGAAACTCGACTCCGCCGGCTCGTCTGGAAGAGTTGGCGATAGAGGTGGTTGTCCATCCGTCTTTCCGCGAAGAATAGCACGCACACGGGTACAAAAGTCTCAGAACGAGTTCAAGCCGTAACAGCTGACGGACGACGGGCCGTTGCAGAGCGGCTGCGATTGCGCGAGTGAGTTCTCTGTTTGGGATGCATGGTGTTTGCCTCCTCGCAGAGCGTCCTGATATCGTGTGGTGTCAACAGGCGATGCTGCATAAGTGAAGCCACCTCGTAACTCTGGTAGTGCAGTGTCCAATTTAATTCTCTACGTGATTTCTATTACTGTCTGCTACCCCCTCTGGCCGCCTTTCCGAATCATGCTCCACTCCCTTTTGCATTGATGTCTCTGTTTGAAAGGTCACCGAAAGCACTAGTTAGGTCGTGCTACGACGTTCGACATTGTCGTTAAGCAGACACGATGGAAAGCAGCCGGGCTGAGCTCTTTGTGTAGTGTGCTTGTCCAAACCGCCACGTACAATTGTCTCTTCAGAATTTACCAAAAACCGAACGGTGTTAATTTTGTGAAAGTGCAACTTGATCCCAATCTTATAACGTTGGCCCGTTTAGCGCAGTGGTAGTTGCGCCTGCCTAGTAAGCAGGAGGTCGCTGGTTCAAACCCAGCAACGGGCATACAATAATCTAACTTTTTGGCCCCTTTTTGTCACTTCGAATGGAAGCCGCCTTCAACAGGAGTCCTCTTATTTCACACCGCTTTGGTGCTTAGACATCCGAAAATGCTTGTACTCTGTATTTCGACCTGTCAGCACCAACCCCGTGTTGCAGCATCCACTTTGGGTCCGAGTGCATAGTCCCGGGAGAGAGAAACATTTCTGATCCCAATAAATGGTGCGCTACTTTCTTGGGTGGGGGAAAGCCCATCCACTCTGCAAAAATTATCTATTTTCGAGTGTGCAATACGCGTCAACTACACAATATGCCTCCAACACATAATGCTGCATGCCAATGCAATTATCTCCAAATGCCATAATAATGCTCGCTTCAAAACGGGGCGCCTGCATTAACCTTCACAACCACCACGTTCCGCTTGCTGCACCAGCCCCGCCGGCTCCATCATCATTCCTGTCCCGTTCAGCTCCACCCGTGTCCCCTCTCCCCTCCCTCTCCAGAGTTCTGTCCACAACAAACGCTGCTCCACCTATAAGTGCTCCAGTTCTCCCCCGACTTCTGCTCCGTTCCCGCCAGGCAGTTCCCAACTTGGACTTGGCGGCCTCCGACGCGACAAGAGAGGACACGGAGAGAGTGGGAAGGCGGACCGGAGAGGGAGAAGGCGGACGGCGGTAAGAGCGGGCGGGGTTGAACGTAGTGACGGGCGGCGAAAGGCTGGTTGTCATAGGATTGGGGTTGAGGAGGGAGGGTGTGAGAAGTGCTGATAGTGAGGGCCAGGTGGGGCCACGTGTGTTGGGAGGGGAAGACGTTCCAGGTGTTGTCGGGGCTTGGGGAGGAGATCCATTAGCCGGGTTTGCCGGGCTCGCGGATGTAGTGGCGGCTCCGACGAGTGCAAGGGCTCCAAGTCCCCACCAGCTTGGTGAGCGTGATCGCGCTGTACCGTTCGGTCCCTCCGGTGGGGACTGCTGGTTGGTGGGAGGTCGAGTATCCCGAGGTGGTGATAGTATGGAGGCAGAAGTCTGCCCATTCGTCAGCTGGACATCACTTCCGCCTGCACCCGCCCCAAGACGCCACCAGGTACCTCCAAGGGTATCCGGGGCTTCTACAGTTGGAGAAATTGGGGTGTCATCCGAGTGGTCACGCAGAGTGAGGTTGACGCGAGGGTGCTGAGGTGGAGGGGATGCATGGCCGTTTGCGTTGGGGGTGAGGGGGGCTGCGGATAATGGAGGTGTTGGGAGAGGTGAAGGCATCAAAGTTGGGGGAGGGAGAGTGTGTGGAGGCGGGTGAAGAGGTCCCATTATGTCTTGCGATGGAGTTGGCAGACTGGGCGTTGGAAGGTCACCTGGTCCTAAAACCGCTCCGAGCTGCTGCGTCAGAGGCAGCTCGGTCTGTCCCGGTCGCTGTCTCGCCCCAGTCACGGGGGAGTTCGGGGGTGAGACCATAGGTGGAGACATCGCAGCGGGAGGAAGCATCGTCGGCATGGGAGACGGAGACCTCCCCGACCTTATAATCGAGGATGGTGTGCGCACTCTAATGGCGTCAGGGATGAATATAGCGAGAAGAGAGGACGCGAGTGTCGGCGACCCGGGCGACGATTCTGGAGGCTTTGCTGGCGCGAAGTTCATTGTGGGCATCCCTGACGCAGCCATCGAGGGAAGAACTACCGCAACTTGGACGTGTCCCGTCTCTGCATCCGCCTGGTCCGATGTCACCAGCACCTGCTGCTGAACATGGACATGCACAGGCGATGGCGTCCGTCGTCGCGAGCTCGTGGTCTGCGCGGCGACAGACATTCGGCGAGACTGATGCAGGAAAGTGCGTGGGGAAAGAGTTGGCGGTAATCAGGAAGCGGGGCGGAGATTTCTCTGGGACAGGGTGGCGGTTTTGGGACGCCTTGGAAAATGAAGCCGCATCAGCAAATTTCCACATCCAGTAATATCACTCGTATATTATAACGAGGAATTGAATGAGCTCGCACATTCCTTGAGGCAGAATTCAAGGGATGGACAGTAATGAGTCTATTCAATGAATGGGAATTATACATTACTCATCGTGTTCAATAATCGGGTAGGGGATATCGAGAATATTAAATGCGGGTATATCGATAAAATCCGTGCTGTCGGATACGATGCCAAGAGCACGGCTGCCTTGCGTTGTTGCGAAGGAAATTTCGCTGNTCTGCACAACTTCCGCCTAATAACTTCGGCATCCCGGTCTCCCTCATCAGAGAATTCAATTTTCTTCGAGATGGATCCCACTGTGATCACGACGCTGACGCTTAACGCTGTTGGAACTGGTTTGGCAGGGATGGGTTTCATCGTCGTCCTCATCAATCTG